CTGGGTCAGCTGCAAGAGCAAGTGTTCCTAACGGCTGAGCTGTCTCTCCAGCCTCAAAGACAGTGGTTTTGGGATCACAATATAGGCAACATGGCCTCAGAGACTGACAGGTCACAGGCAGATGTGACTGGAAGAGAGTGGGAGAGAAAACCCAGCTAGGTGCCAGCCCTCTGGCTCCTCTGTGCCAGGGTACCACATAAGCGGGAAGGATGAGCATAGGTGAATGGGTGTCAGGACCCTGAAGCCTGGCTGCAGTCTTATAAACTGCTTCTCTGGGCTGGGCTGTCTCCACCCCACTGTCCCCCTGCCCCCTTGCAGGCCCGCAAAGCCCTCACAGAGCGTCAGAAGGACCTGGAGATGAAGACCCAGCAGCTGGAGATCAAGTTGAGCAACAAGACTGAGGAGGACATCAAGAAGGCGCGACGGAAGTCCACTCAGGCTGGTGAGCCCCGCAGTGTCCTGGTGATACCAGCCCTGGGAAGGGGTATTCTTTTTGTCAGTCTTCCATTCCGGTGGCATGGTCCTTCCCATCTTCCCCCTTGAAATGTCCCTTGTGTCTCCTCCCTGCCCTATGTCCAGGGATCTCAAGGGAAGAGAAAAGAAGTGGGTGAGATTCTCCAAGGTTGCAGTGAGGACTGGCCAGTTCATACTGTCCCTTCCATGGCCTTTGAGTTTTCCCAAGCCCTGGATCTAGGTCCAGAGAGATTGACAGATTTCTCCGTGAACCAAAAGCTCAGGGCTCTGTCCCTGTTTAAAGAGTGCAACCTCCAACCACCAACCCACCAATCCAAGATGCTCCACCTCTCGAGGGAGTTAGTTATACTGTGGAAGTAAGCTCCTGCCCTGAGGACAGAAGCCAGCATTGAGTTTTAAAAGCATCCATATTTCAAAATTTGCCCATATTGCTCCATTGAGCAGGTTTCTGCTGTCACCTAGTGGTAGCAGTTAGCAGCTACACAGGCAGAAAGATAAGGGCCCTTAGAGTCAAGAAAGCTTTGGCAAACATACAAGTCTCCACCATGCAAGGGTATCTTTAGATAATATTCTTCCTCTTGATTTCTGATGAACCGGCGACGGTTTGTATCATTCCAGAATGAAGTAGCCTCCTTAGATGCTATAAAATAAGTTGACAAAAATTAGATACATAGGTCCAGAAACATTTTCATAAACTCCTGACACATTTATTGTGAATGGGGAGGGGACCCAAAGAGAGAAGACATATATTCAAATTAATTCATTCATTTACAAAACAAAGCTATACAGCAACAGCAGTGTGTAACAGATGTTTTCATCAGTGCACAGGAGTATGTTATTCACCTGAAATAATCCCCAAATTCTCTGAATTCACATAAACTGAACCATATACTCTATCTTTAATCTTGTTTTTCAATTAATATGTCTTAGAAATAAGCCCTGTCTCATTCCCGCTAAGTCTCTTTAGGCATCCATTCCCGTACATCAGGCACTTCTTATTGCCTGCTTCATTGTGGAACTTGGGGCCTTACACATCGTAGGCAAGTACATCCCCACTGGGCTGCAGCCCCAGCCCCCTTTATTGTATCCAAATTTATTTCAGCATGCCTTTGATGGCTTTTAGGGCTTTGCAATTGTTTCTGAATGTTTGCTAGGACCAGAGATACTGTGTTGCTATTGAAACTGTAACTCTCTGCATTTGTAAGACCAGATCCTCACACTAGGAGAATGAAGATGCTGGGTCAGAAAGTTTGGTTCATTTTGACAGATATTTCCAAATAGCTTTCCAGAGAGGGCTCCCCGGATAACACCTATGAATGCCTCTTGCTTGAATGCTTATCAGAATTGACCATTATCAAATTTGAAATCATTGGTGTGCTGGTAAAAAAAAAAAAATGGGTTGTTTTTTTTTTTTTGCTGCTACTTTGTAATTCTCTATAAGAGGGCTGAGCATTCTGAAAATACACTCATGAATTATTTTTATGCCCGCCACCACCAATGAACTGAGGATGTCAAATCCTTGTTGAATGCTGTGTGTGTCAGTCTTAGTGACTGATTGACAGGTCATGCATGTGTTAGGGAGAGTCACCCCTGGTCATTCCTATGGTTATCACTTGTCCTTTGCTCTTTGAAGAATAAAAAAAAGAGAAGATTTTGTATTTGGTCTTTTGTTTGCTTGCTTGCTTTTGCTTTTCCTTGTCTGGTTTCTGCTGCTGGTTCTCTGTATAGTGCCGTTTCCTCTGCAGTGTCTGGGTTTGAGGAAGACAGACTCGGAGAGGCCTCCACCTGGCAGCAAGCACTGACATTTCTTCCCTTCTGTTCCTTTTCTCCTCCTCCACATCTCTCACAATGCTACTGAGAGGAAGAGTGTCTGGATCTGGGGAGGGAGGGTCTGACGTCAAGCCATCATCTTTGCCATGAGGAGTATTTTGCTGTCTGTCTATGCCAAGCACTGTGCACACATCAGCTCTTCTTCAAGATGACTTTGTTGTTGTTCTGTTTTTTGAGACAGGGTTTCTCTGTGTAGCCTTGGCTGTCCTAGAACCCACTCTGTAGACCAGGCTGGCCTCAAACTCTTAGAGATCTACCTGTCTCTGCCTCCTGAGTGCTGGGGTTAAAGGCAAGCACCACCACTGCCCAGCTACGATGACTCTTTAAAACTACAACTGTCATACCTGTTTCATGGTGAAGAAACTGAGGCAGGACTGATTAGTTAGTATACCTAGAGTCATGCTGCATATAATGGTGGAGTGAGGCAGCCCTGGCATTCTGGTTCCAGAATCCAGTCTCTCAACTGACACTTTCAGAAATAGCCTGGTCTCTATGTCGTGGTGTGGCATGGAAAGGAAACAGCCTTCCCCACACCACTCTCTGATGCTGCAGCGATTCCTGAAATATGTCCTCAAAATCAGAATGGACATTTGGGGTCTAGGGGTCTCACAGTATATGTTCATAGAACAGCATGCTGGTGGCCCCATTCCAGAGCAGGTGAAGTCATGGCGGAAATACAGGGACAGAGATGCATCTATGCACTCCCCTCTGGCTAATGCTCCTTAAGGGGTAGTCATTGGCTTTGGCCAGGAATGACATGAAGAAAACACTTAGCATAGCTGTTCCCCAAGGCACAGGACTCGTGGTATATCTGTGGTCGGGGCATGAGGATTCTGAGCTGGTTTTGAATTATATGTACAAGCCTCCCTGTTTTCCTCCATATGAGTAAGAGTTATGTCAATGAAATGACTCTGAATCTATTCAAATGACTGGATTCAACTCTGAGGATTCCTAGAATCGCCTGTTGATTTATTAGAGTGAGTCACTTGGCTCTGGGGGTTGGCTCACAAGCTGCTCCCAGCATGATGCCCAATTCTCACCAGAGCCACTTTTACACAGTGCAGAGCACTGTGGGCTCCTCTGATGCTGTTCTCACCACAGGTCTGGGGGAGAGTTGGCCTTTGGTTCAGCAGGTCTGAACCTGAAGTCCTGCACTTGTCACCAGTTCCCAGGGTCTCTTGATGCCCTTGGCGCACCAACTGTGCTTCATGTCCCAAGGCTCTGGGGTGTCAGCATCCTTACCAATATTTTGTAGTCACCTCATAGTTCGTTTTTGTTCTAATTTTAAAAATGTTTCAGATACTCATGTCATTACAGAAAGTAGTATGTTAGCTGTGAAGCTATAGTGGTTGTGTGTTCAGATTGCTGTTATAAAACGGAATGCTGCATGAATACTTCCCTCCGGTTCAGTCTGACTCAGTTTCCCAAGGCTCCCATTCATCTGCCCCTGCTCTGGTGTGGCTTTGTACTAGTGCTGCACAGTAAATGAGCCATGACCACAGGATGTTATGTTGGGTATCAGAATGCTGTCCTTTGTCTCTTACTGTCACACTAGCATATGGGTATGTGTGTACGCACACATGTACGCACATGTGCGTGCACACACACAACTTGCAAATTTCTCTCTTAGGGGAGAAAGAACATAGTGGGGATTCTACCTGGGCTTTGCATTCATTAGGAAGACCTTCTTACCCCCTAAGCTACATCCCTAAGTTACCCAGGCTGGTCTTGAACATCTCACGTGGCCCATCCTGACCTCAAACTAGCAGTCCTAATGCCTCAGGCTCCCAAGTGCTGAAATTGCAGATGTGCAACATGGAATCCAGAGTCACGTGTGGTCTCTTCATGAGAAACTGAGTTCTTGGGGTCTGCAATTCAGTTCAGACAGGCACTTGGTGGCTGGTCCCCTGTGCTTTGCCCTCTCCTTTTATCTGCTCCCTTCTTCTCTTCTTCCTCCTTCATTCCCTGGCTTTACAATGGCCACCGTGACTGGGAGAGCAACAGGCATACCATGGGCACAGGCAGAGGAGGACAACCAGAGTGGAGACAAGGTGGCATGTAACAGGGCATGATGGTGTCTGTTGGCTTTTCCCAGGAGATGACCTCATGCGCTGCGTGGACCTCTACAACCAGGCCCAGTCCAAGTGGTTTGAAGAGATGGTGACAACCACACTGGTATGTGATCAGAGAAATGTGAGCATATGGTAAAGAGGCTGATGCACAAGCATCCCTGGGCAGGGGACAGTGGTCATGGGAGGATGGAGTGGTGGTAACCACAGAGATGGTCATTATATCTCTCTCAATATTGAAGTTCAACCCTCATTCTATACCTGCCCATGGATTCAAACTCCTACTCTACCAATTCCTGCCCTATGAACTCCACAAGGGCCTGGTCTTGCTCAGTTATCTTTTTTCTGTCCACTGAGAAGTCAGGATCCACCAGGAATTTCCTCATCTCAGTGAGCCATGGCCCTGCTGTGATAAACAGAGAAGCAGTGGGAAGCTGACACACTCTCCCCAACACACACACACACACACACATCTTCAGGTCCTTGATAGAGGGGTCCTTATGAGACACCTGAATGGGAAGACTGGGAGCTGTAGAGACGTTGTGATGGAAGACCATGGAGGCAGGCCCTGAATGCTATCCTGTGTGTTCCTTTTAAAGGATCAGTTATCTCTCCTTGTTGGTCAGACTGCCTGGGCAGGGCAGTAGAGCATGGCTGGTACTTGGAACAAGTGGGAGAAGGGGACAGCATCATGTCCATTGTACATTCTATCATTTCAGTGTCCACTGCCACCCCTTCCCAAGCCTTAACCAGCCACCTTCTCCAGGTGCTAGCCCACCTAGGAAGATTAGCAGCCTCCTTGGGGTCAGTGCCCTGCTTTTCCTCTCCTCCATTAATCTTCTAATTAAGCCCCCTTCTTTACCTCCCTTCCAGGTTAATCACCTGGGCAGTGACCTAGTTCCCCACAGAATAACAGCCTAATCCCCTAAAGTCACGGAACCAGCTAGAAACCAACAACAAGCCTTTCCACTCTTCTCTGACAATGGCTAGCACATTCCCCGCCTGCCTTGCTCCCTGCCTGGTCTTCTTTGTCCCTCAGCACTAGGAGTGGGTAGAAGCCAGAGAACTTGAGAGGCTGAGCGCTCCTGCACACATCCTGTTGCCCTGCCCAACAGCTGGAGAGCACTACAGATCCCAGCTTAAATGTTGCTCTTTCTACAGCTCCATGACGCTTTGAACAATGGAGACAATCATAAAACCTCTCTTTGAGTCCTAATAGGGACATTCAGACACTGCACGTGCAGAGTTCCATACAGAGCTGGCAGAGACACTCTTATGACCTTCATCTTCACCCTAGAGATTGGTTCCTTCTTCATTAGCATCCAGAGGGTCAGAGAAGCTGGGGATCCACATAGAATACATGGTGGTCTGACACCCGCTCGGTGAGAAGGATCCTGAGTTAGGGATGGGCTCAGGGGCCTCTGGTCTTTTCTTCTTCCTCTGTAGGAGCTGGAGCGGCTGGAGGTGGAGAGGGTGGAAATGATCCGACAACATCTGTGCCAGTACACACAGCTACGGCATGAGACAGATATGTTCAACCAAAGTGTGAGTTTCCCACCTATGCACTAAGGCTAGCAGGGTAGACTTGGCATGATTGCCCCAGAGGTCCATGTGATCCATTCTTAGTACATGAGGCAGATTCTCCTGGGGGGCTACTACCAAGAACCAGGAAAAAAATGGCTGTATTTGGTTTACTTTGGTTTTTGGCTGGATCTGGCTAGGCCTTGAATGTAGAATCTTCCTGCCTCTGTTTTCCAGTGCTGGGATCACAGTTATGTGCTCCACCCAGCTTTGCCATGGTTAAAATAACCAAAGACATCTGTCTTCCGTGTGAATTTGCTTTAGAAAGCAATTCAAATATACAGCTTCTAAAACAATGACCAGTGCCCGAAGGCAGGTCTGTTAGCCAAGGGAAGACAGAGGGAGGAAGAGGTCCCCTTTAGGACAGACTGCCCTCTTCTCCAGGCCTGGGATCTTCAGACTACCTCCACCTCTCACATTGCTCTGCACCCCCAAACCACCTCCATGGGGCCCTGGAACCTTCTAGAGGGCTGATCTGAGGTGGCGCTCCAGCTGCAGCAGCACGGGACACAGGAGACATCCCAGTTCAGCTGCCACCTCTGACAATGACCCCTCCTCTGTGTCCCTTGCATACAAATGAGCCTGTGGACCAACTGCTGAGAAAAGTGGACCCAGCCAAAGACAGGGAGCTATGGGTCAGAGAGCACAAAACAGGCAACATTCGCCCAGTGGACATGGAGATCTAGACGTGCCTATGTGGTCCTGGGGGTCCTGCTGGGAGAGGGGCTGGGGGTCCCATGGAGAAGGGGTGGATCTGCCCTGTTACCTGCTGACCTGTCCACAGAGAAGGAGGAAAAGGGCCAGTGATGCCAGAAAGAGGGCCCAGCCAGGGGCTCCCCAATATTCCCTGGCCATAAAGATGGACTCACAGCCCTGATTCCATCTCTTAGACTGAAGCCTCCCCTCCAACTTCCATGCTGTGCTTGTCAACTCTGAGAACAAACTGAGGCTTGGGGTCCCTGCTGAGTTCCATTGGGATGGCCATCACATTCCTGTGCCCCAGGTATCCAGGGCCTGTCCTCCAGCTGGCTTCTCATCTCCATGGTTACAGGAAGAGGAAGGGAGGGAGGTCTCTGTCTCCAAACAATGCCAGGGTCAGGATCAAGGATAGGAGGCATTCAGCAGTCCACAGCCTGCACCCACAACTTTTCTCAGCCCTCCCTATTTTCCTCCCAAAGCATTCTGGGAGCCCATATCTATTTTTTCATCCCTCTACACAAGGCTGGCGGGGGATGTCTTCTCAACCCAACTCTGGAGAGGTCAGGACAGAACTACCTCAGCTGGCATCACCAGATCATGGCTCCCGTCCATTTCAGATCAGGCACTGGCTGTAAAGTCCACCACAGAAGTCCCAATCTGCCCTTCCTTTCAGCCTCTTTCTCAAGGAAGATGCTCCCCACTCTCACCCTGACACCCCTTCCCAGACTCAATAGAAGGTGTTTCCCAAGTCCTCAGGCAGCTGTGTGCATGTTCAAAGGCTTTGGGGATGGAGTCCCAGAGAGTCTTGTCTGCCACATGCGCACTGCCCCCCAACACTATGGCAGCCTTGTCCAGAGCTCTGCCACACTGCTGACACAGGTCATGTAGGATGGAGGTCAGGTCACTGTTGGTTATTCTCTGATGGCTCCAGCTCTGGATGTGCGTGATGGGTTAGGAACTGATGTCCTCCTTGCTGGCACTGGAGAGTAGTGCAGATTTTGTGGCTGTAGGTTATTGCCACCAAGGAGAAGGAACTTGTCACATAGTGAGCAGGGGGTCAGATTCTAGCTGGGAACTTGTGCCCTGAGAGGGAGGTCATCCTTCTTCATCTTCCCACAGGTGACTTTGTATTTGACTTGTTTATATCCCCAAGGGGCAGAATCCTGCAAGCACAACTCACAACTTTCCACCTTACACGCTAACAGCAGGCTGTTTACTAATTTCGACCCTTTTTAGTGCCTCATCCACAGAGCCATCTCCCATGGTTCTTAGGAGGATGCCTGATACACTAAAGCAAACTGAGCATTGTCACTTTTCTTACTGACACATCTCAACCACAAAGGACATTTAACCAACCCACGCTCCAAGACTCAGCATGAACCACGACACCAGCTATCAATATTAGGATATTATTTCCCAGTTTCTGTATTTTAAAAAAATGGGTGCTGTGGTTTAGCAACCTAATTTGTGAGTCATACACGGGGATTTTGGGGACCACAATGTGGCTCATGACTTACCCCCCCCATCCAGAGGGTTCAGAGTCCTCTGAGATGCCACTGCCTCCAGCAAAACCCCAGTTGGCTGATGTGAGCCAATTCATTCTGAGGCCATTCCTTCCTCATTGCCACCTCACCTCCTTTTTAATCTACCCACATATACCTTTTACTCCTCCTACTCCCTTCTATTGTCCATCCAGGACATTTTGGTATAGACAAGCAGCATATAATCTTATCTGAGGACAGGCTATGGCTCTGTCATCCAAACAAACCCTCAGACCTCTCTTGTGTAGACTCGCCTCTTCCTGAGATGATGTCATTCCTCCTTCTCTGCCCATTTGAGTTCTCAGAGGTACTGGATGTGTGCTGGGTTTTCTTCACCCGTTCATTTTGCACATTCATTTTCTCAGTGACTGCTTGGAACTGGGTGCTGAATGCTAGTCTGTGTCTAAGAGGACACTCTCCAATGTGCTTCATGCACAGATAGGTGTGTTTAGACCCTTCTGGAGAGAAGGTTCAATCCCACTTTGCACTGGGATTCTTGAGGTATTAACTATGCTAAGAGGTCTTAACCCAGCAGCAAGATTTGAGTCTCGTCACCACCAAACTCTCTGCTCATGCCCAGCTCCAATTTCAGAAACAGCTTTGATTGCTTTTCAATACCTTTCCTTGTACCACAAATAGGAAGAGTGAGAGCATGGAGGAGGAGGGTGCCAGGAAATGACACCCAGTCAAGTGTCCAGCCACCTTCACAGCACACTGTGGGTAAAGTCAAGACGATGATGAAGGCTGAGAACCCAAAAGTACATACCGGAGTTGAGTGTTCAAGCTATCGTTGGGGTCCTTGTTCTGTTTGCAGTGCTGGGGGCCCAATCCAGAGTCACGTGTGTCTAGGCCTGCACTCCACCATTTAGCTACATCCAGCCCCGTTATCTTGCTTTTGTAAATGCTGGTGCTTAGGTTCTAAGAAGATTTGGCTTGGTTTGTTCATGGTGGGCAAGCATCCATTGTCCAGGTTGAGAGCAAAACAGCACTTTCTACCTGCCCCCCTCCCAGGAGTGCCAACACACTTAAGCTTTGTCTGCAAAAGCCTGGTTTAAAAAAAAATCTCTGAAATGAATGATGTTCAAAAATGGGTTGGTTGCCATGGCAACCTCCAGGAAGAGATACTTGTTACCCTTCATTATTTTCTAGTACTTTTGAATAGTCCCACGGGGCACAAGCCATTTGAAGGATGTGGACGGCAACCCTAAGCTGTCTCCGGCACAGCGGTAGAGACCACCCTTCTACCTCCTCACAAGACCGGCTGATGTGAGAGGTTCTCCACAATGGTTGGTTAAGAGCTGAAACAAAGTATCCAAATTTGAGACAGGAGATTCTGTCGATTCCCTCTGAAAAATCCAGCCAATTACCAGGGTGGTGAATGGGTGCAGGAGATTCTTGGCTAAGCCAAAGCCTCTTCATGGAAACACAAGCCATGAAATTCACAAGGTGTCAAAAGACCTTTGCTTGTTGGAGGGTTTGCTCCCAGCTGTGAGTCACCTTGACAAGGAGAACTTAATAAACAGGAGTCTGAAGACCGCTGTTGCTATGAAGCTAAGAAAGGCATTTTACAGATACAAAGTGAGGGAGCAGGTTAGCTGCCCGATGACTTAGCCTGGAGACCCCCTCATTGCCATAACGGTTCACATGCTGAAAAGTATCCTCCCAACCCCTTCTCAAGATAAGAGGTATGATTAAAATACAATAAAATTCACCCTCTCAAGGAATGCACTTCTTTGAACCTTAACATCTATGGTCTTGTCAACCACAACCAAGACTGACATGTCTTCATGCCAGTTCCCTTTTCCCACCCCAATCTAGCAACCAGATCAGTGTTCTGTCCCTATAGTTTTGCCTTTTTCTACAATGCCGTGTAAATGGAGTCACGCTGATACAAACTTCTGAGTCAGCCATAATGTTGTGTGCATCAGTAGAGGGTTCCCTTTCACTGCTGAGTTGTATTCCATCACATGGGTGGGTCCCAGGGTTTCCTTAGTTTTAAAATGAGTTTTTTATGCCCTGGAAGTCATAGCCCCAGATCTCCAATTTGTATAACTGATTCCAAACCATTGCTTCCTACATTCCTGGGGCTCCTTCCCCAGACCTCAGCTGCGCCCTTGTGTGGTCCTGATGCTACTACACTCATTTTGCTGGTGATTCTAGTTTGGGATCAGTACAGAAAGCAGGAAGGAATGGCGACAGCGTCACCCTCCACTACTGCAGCCGTATATCTCTCAGTGCAGGAAGATCCTCTCCCTTAGGGGCTGTCACCTCAGTCTTTGGGACTTGATGTTTATTGAGCAATGACCCTTGGGCACAGTTTGACGGTTCCCTGAATCTGTTGTGTCATCTGCCAACTGAGGGTGCTTGTCCTAGGAGGTCTCTGAGGCCTTCAAATCCAGTGTTCTCTCCAAACCCCCATTGCCTATTTGCACGCTATGCACATGGTCATATATAGCCTGGTGTCATCTGTACATCTGTGGCCAAAATCCTCATGATGGACAATTTTCTAGGTAAACCCAAATGGAACTCAATCATGTCACAAGCCAAGAATTGCTTAGCTCCTCTCAGAAACCCCAAATAAGCTAGAAGCCAGTATCAATACCATCTGGGTCTGTCCCCAAGGAGCCAGCTGATCAAGTCCTTGTTTCCAGCTGTACTTTGACTTTCCAGCCGTCACACCGAGACTACTATCTATTGGTGGCAGAGACGGAACCAAGCCCAGTTAAAGTCAGGCCAGGCTGTAGGTGAGGCCCTGTGGGGCCTACTCCTCCAAGCTGTCTTGATCACGTACTTCTGAGTGAAAGATAGATCCTAGAAGGCCCTTGTGAGGCTCCAGGTAAACTGAGGCATTCCTAGATTCAGGTGAGGGTCAGAGCTTGGGAGTCGGAACCCAAGGGTCTCACATGGGAGGCAAAGCTACTAGGACCCCCTAGTAGCTTTCTGTGGGAAAGTTCCTGAGGTGAGGGACCTGCTTCTCAAGGGGCAAGATCCAATAGGGACCCAAAGTCAAGGCTCCCCTGTCTTAACCGTCTAGTGCTGGGTGTGGCTCTCAGGGATTGAACTATGGAATCTTGAGCTGGGAGAGTGGGGATGGCCTTTAAAACCTTGCTGAGTGATATTTGGAATGTTGCCCCTGAGTGTCTGAGGGGAGTTCCCAATAGGACTGCAATGGTAGAGAGTGAAGGGCCAGAGTTACTGTGTGAAACCGGGGCAGAAAGAAAAAGCTGAGACCGGCCCTGTCATGCTTCCCAGTTTGTCCTGCACCCTAAGGTCACACCCTGTCAGGACTTCTATGTGCTCACCTGTCCCTCCCTGCAGCTTCCTCAGCAGACAGGTTCTTGGACCCAGGCACCAACATTCCAAGGGACACCAGCCAACCTGGGTGAGGGCCCAACTCTGTATGTCTTCCCTGCCGGGGAGAGAGATGTCCAGCAGCCTTGTCTTGC